GCACACGCTCCATTCTTCACACGAGTCTACGATCGCCGCCTGCTTGCCAGTGACAAGAATTACTTGGCGAGCTTTGCCCTTCGTCCTATTTTCGTTTTCAGTAGAAGGGGACGAGAAATAAAATTCGTTACTCCATACTTCATTGCTATTTATATGTAGAGAGAGTTACATTATAGTGTAATGTCTGTGCGTGCGTGCGTGCGTATGTGTGTCCATGCGTGCGTGCGTGCGTGTGTCCATGCGTGCGTGTGTGCGTACGTGCGTGTGTGTGTGTGTGTGCGTGTGTGCGTTCGTGCGTGTGTGCGTTCGTGCGTGCGTGCGTGTGTATGTGAGTGTGTGAACATGCATGCGTGCGGGGAGATATATGGAGGGTGAGAGAGATGGGAGAGGAAAAGAAAAAGAGAGTGGGAGAGAGGGGGGGAGGGAATAAGGAAAGGATATTCCTATTTCGCAGAATTGTATGTTTAACGTGAAATTGCGCCTAGCGTGTTGGGCGCATTCGCGATGTTTCCTGTCCGCAGCCGGTGCGCATACTCGTTGCAGGAAATGAGGGCCACAATGTTTACTATATACACGACATCAACGAATTAACGCCGATGTCAAACGATGACCCAATATAGTGTAAAAGGCGCAATTGTGCGCCGATTTCTATAGGCTTGCGCGCGCAAAACTCCTAAACTCATTCGTCAACAGTGCAGGGTGTGCGGTCGCAGAGAGATCGATATAGACATGTAGTTCGTGGGGTTTGACGACCGGCCATAGCATGAAAATGTGTGGAGAGACTGACAAGTATATTATTGTATCCCCCGAACGAAGTTCGTGGGGATACTATGAGTTTGGCCTCGTCGCGCCGCCGCCGCCGCCGCCGCCGCCGCCGCCGCCGCCGCCGCCGCCGCCGCCGCCGCCGCCGCCGCCGCCGCCGCCGCCGCCGCCACCGCCACCGCCGCCGCCGCAGAGATTTTATTGTGAGCGCTCTACCGGCTGCAGTTCTTCTCGGATTATCATTAAATTTCGCATGAAGGTGCGTTATCGTAAAGCGAAGACGCCAATCGTTTTTGGTGTGGGCGGAGTCATCGTTGCCATGGTAACAACATTTTTTGTCGAAATATTCTAGAACCTGTAACTTCTGCAGTTTTTACCCGCTTTACCATGACGCACCTTGGCATCTTGGGGAGAAGGTGTGCATAGTACCAAAACCAGGTCACTGCGACCTTTATTTCACCTTTACCTTGACCTTGATCATATTTCCCTTCCGCTCTCTAACTCAGCCCCTAATTGACCTAGCGCGACCAAACTTGGTATGCTTACACATCTTGGGGAGAAGGTCTGTCGCATACCAAAACCACCACTGCCCTTGACCTTAGTTTGACCTTGACCGTTGACTTACATTTCCTCTTCGGCCTCCTAGGATAACCAGATTTCATATACTTGCACATCTGAGGCAGACCAGAACTTTGTCTAACAAACCTTTGTCTTTGTGACTTATTTAACTTTACCTGCCTTCTACGTCCTTGCAGAGATATTCCATTCATACTAGATCACGGGGGATACATGTAGTTGGCGACAATTGCTCGTTTCTAGTTTTTATGGCCTATGGCGTTTTCCAACCAAATGTAGCTACTAAGGCTGTGACTCTAGTGAGTCACATATCAACGTCAGCTCAGAATTCCGTTATTTTACTCGATGCATTTCGCAAGCATGCAGCTTAGCACGTTCTCGCATACGTCGCTCAATTAGATTCTAAGAGAAATAGAAAATCCTCGCGCATGAAAAACATCTTGAAATCTCCCATTTAAAGTTAAATCGGCAGCTAGGCGAAGCCTCGCGTATCGCGGCATTGATCGATAGTTAGAATATTAGTTCTCTGCTATTAGAAACACAGTATGTTCATACCAAGGCCAGCGAGCTTCTAGCTAAATATATGATGCAACAACGTATAATTATGCGCACCTATTTTGAGGTAAGAACAATGCGGTTGACCATCTCTCACCCGAATGTCATAATGGTGCATAGGAGACGGAGAGCACGAAAGAGAGAACAGGGTCGAGAGAGAGCGCGCGCGATGGAGCGAGTAAGTGAGAGGGAGAGGGAGAATAGAAGATCAGAGATGAAAGAAAGATCGAGAGACGTATATAGAATGGCCGCAGTGGCGTAACCAGGATTTTTTAACAGGAGGGGCTAAAAACAGCGAACTGCGCAAAATAGTGGATGACTTAATATTTTAATGGTTCCTCCGCCTCCCTCTCCACACCCTACGCTCCCCCCCCCCACCTCTCAGCTCTGCAATCTTTGTTTTGGGCGCCGTGCAAACAGGCGACATTTTTGTTCGTTGTTCTCTGCTAGATATGTAACTGTTCAGTGGCCGATTCAGGATTTCAAGGATGGGGGTGAAAAACAGGCGGGGGTTCTTGGGGTCCTCCCCCAGAAAATTTTTAAAATGTAGATCGCAGGAGATGGTATTTGAGGCACTTTTGAGTACATGTACAGCCTTCATTCTGACTACGACAATTCTCTTTTTAGTAGAACAATTCTTCTTCTTCTTTTTTTTCACTTTCGGATCAACAGGGGGGCCATGGCCCCATTACCCCCCCCCCTAACTACGCCACTGAATGGCCGCACGTTATATAGAGAGCGAGAGCGAATTAAGCGACGGCTAGCTTTCGTGCATGCGTGCTGTACAATAACATGGAAGGTGGAAAAGAGGGAGGTGAGTGGCGAGAGCAGGGGCGAGTCAAAGGAAGAAAGAAGATTGTAGGTATGTAATGCAGAGCGACATTCAGGCTAACTGGGTCAGGGTCGCTCGCTCTTCGGGGCAGTAGCTATATAACAGGTGGTTCTTCAGGTGACTTCGCATAAGCATGGGTAAAAACACCAGCATATAAGGCTGGTGATTGATGATGATGATGATGATGATGATGATGATGATGATGATGATGATGATGATGATGATGATGATGATGCGGACGATGCGTGCCATCGCGGGGTACCCATTTCTTCACTCACATGCTGTATGGTCCACAGATATATAACGCAATTTGAACGAACGACGCCGAAAGTAACGTAAGCACATTTATATCGATAACTGTCATAACTATATCGATGTTTACATAACAAGCGAAAGCTGAGATCAATGCCCATCTAGCCACATGCGTAGACATACATTAAATGAATATATGTAGTGCTCGTGCACCCTGCATGTTATTAATGACGTGGTGTTTGGTTCTTCACAAACAGCTGTTTGGTTTCACAGATATTACCAATTTCACTCGGCAAACGTATTAGCACGCATCGTACCGGATCTGCCAGATAATAATAGTCGTATAAAAGATGTAAAAAATAAAGTATAAAATATAATAACCGATTTTTTTTAACCATAATCATGCAGGAGTACATTAACACTTGCTAGTGTACTCCTACGATCAGGAAAGCTACTTCGTTCATAATTTCGAAATTATTTGACGACACCTGTACACGTCGTCATGACAACAGTTGCTAAGAAGACTCCGATACGCACGCTATCAGCAGAGATGCAGAGAGTGCCTGAGTGGGTTTCCTCTTTCTTTTGATTAAGAGACCGAATCCCACCAGATACAGTAATCAGACTGTTGCCGAGTACAAATTCAAAGCCGTGGTAATTGGAAAATCGAGACAAGATGAATAGCGACAAATGATGAGTAAGGAGAGATCGGGAAGGCAGCCTGAAGGGTTGGGGAATTTGGAGAGGGTGGGAGCGGACGAGGGCATCATGATCCTTCATTTCTAACTTCGGGCTGGATAAATCTGTTTCAAAACGAGAAACGTATATACGATACAGACCATTAAATGTAGACTATATCAGGGGCGTGTACAGGGGGGGGGTCCAGGGGGTCCGGACCCCCACCCCCCTGCTCGCGCAGAAAACGCATCTAAGGGGGTCTAATTTCAAAAAATTTCTGGGGGAGGGACCCCCCATTCGCGTGCTCGCAAGTTTGGGTTACGGTTAGACCCCCCCCCCTGGTACAAATCCTGTACACGCCCCTGTATATGTCAATGCCAAGCAGAAAGAAAACAAAGCAAAATGATTGCAAACATCGCATATAATTCATTGACACAATGTATAGTGCTGAATAAATACCAAGTTATGTAAGGAATCAATATTCATAATTATAAGATGAAATACGCATGCTTACTTGCTATTTAATTCAGTCACCTTTTACATGATACTTCCCTCATAAGTAATACAAGCATAACATAAGTATCTGAAAGCATAAAAATTCAATTTATGTCTACATATATATTACATCGAGCGATCGAAATAAGTGAGTGAAAGAGGAGTAAATGAACTCGAGCAATAAAAGCTGGATAAAGAAAGCCATATAATGGATAGGGTACATAGCGGAAAGTAAGGAGTAGGACACCACAAAATGGTGAGGGCTAACCAGTGGCGTAGCCAGGATTTTTTAATAGGGGGGCCCAAAAACGGCGAACTGCGCAAAGTAATGGATGTCTTAAAATTTTAATGGTTCCTCCGCCTGCCTCTTCACACCGTACGCTCCCCCACGTCTCAGCTCTGCAATCTTTGTTTCGGGCGCCATGCAAAAAGGCGGGGGGTATGGGGGTCCTCCCCCAGAAAAATTTGAAAATGTAGATCGCAGGAGATGGTATTTGAGGCACTTTTGAGTACACGTACAGCCTTCATTCTGACTACGACAATTCTCTTTCTAGTAAAACAATTCTTCTTCTTTTTTTATACTTTCGGATCAACAGGGGGGGTGGCATGGCCACTGGGGCTAACGAAAGATTGGATATAGGGACAGAGGAAATAGGGGGAAATATGGTTGAGTTGGATGGGGGGCACGAGGTGGAGGAGAAAGGGGGCAATATAAATGTGGCGGCAGACAGGATCGAGGTAATTACAAAGCGCACGAAGAGTAGGAAGGCATAATCAGCGGAGTTTTTTTCTATTAAAAGACATTATTTATGATTATTACGATTGAAGAAAATTCCCAATATAACGAATGTGGAGTATTTCTACATGAAATCACTTTATTTGTCGAAATCATGGAATGAAACGACAAGGTACAATGACTGTACACATATGTCAGTTAGAACAAAGTATACGTAGATTGATCTCGCCGCGGTATAACCGGCTGTCACATTAGCTAGATACAAGTAAATTTAGCGCAGTAGATCTCGACATTAATAAATAACGCTCCTCTAAATTCTCCTGCCTTTAATCTCATATCTTCACATCGCGTGAGACGGCTGTTCTCCCTATGTCTTGTAGCAAAATTTCTATCAATCAGACATTTCATAAATCGAGACGACTTTCATCCTCACCCAAGGTACACTAACGAAATTATACAGATTGGGATTAAGGACGAAGGCGGTGTAATTCGCAGAAGGCGGTAAATCGCAGAAAGACGACTGTGGGATTGTCAGCCCGTGCGCCGATACCGAACGTCTCCCAAACTCCGCGCGACTCTCCCTCCTACATGCTCCAAACATGCCAGCGCGATCGACTTTACAGTGAGAATTCGCTTACAATAACATCTCGAGCTTTATTTCACAGGAAATTCCTCTAGCGTAACTTGATTAAATTCTTTCCCCGCAACGAGGCAGGCGGGAAGTGTCTATGTGCGGTTCTTGTCACTATACATGCGGGGAACTTCTCTCGGAATGTTCGGTTATCGGAAGAAGCCAGCCGTGAACCCTACACGTGCGCGGGAACAGTAACCAACCACATACCGTGCCTTGCCGACCTACGACGTACTACACATCATAGCAATTTCACATTCTGGAACGCCATGTGTGTGAGTGTCAGCCGATATTTCTGCGAGCACAGACAATGTATAGTACCGAGGGGTAATTTACTCCACTCGCTATATGGCTCAGACCATGGTTAGTTTGAAGTAGGTGGACTGAACCGGACTTAAGTATGGTAATATCATTTTACAAAGGTCTGTTAATCACGTGCCCCTTTATAAGAGGCTTCGATCTACGTAGTAATCTCGGAGGTATTAATATTTCGGTAATAATCTCGGTACCGTATAAATATCCTCAAAGGAAAACATCCCGTCTGCTTGCATTGCACACATCTGACTATATCTATGATGCAATAAAAAATGTATTACAAAAACATGTATTCGCAATGAATCGGGATCGACGTAAATAAAACCTGTAATTATATTAAGCAAATAATGTTATCTCAATGTCACACATAGTACATGTTAAACACCGAGTATAGAAGTTCTTCACGTCACTAACATTATATATATATATATATATATACCTCTTTTGACCAACAGGATATCATTATTTCCATTAAATTGAAATTTTCGGCAACGTCAGGCGCCAGACAATTTTTGAAACGTGTTATTATACAGCTTCACAATCTCTGCAACTCTTTCGGCATTTAATTATCGGTATATATATATATATATATGCACACATTCTAGATATCAGAGGTCACGCCAGTTATTACATCAAATACATTTTGGAATGTCACAATTATACATGTCATGAAATTCTACTCTGATATACACAATATAATTACATTGTCGCTCTAATAATATATCTAATATATCTTTCATAATCCATTATTTACATATATGGTATATCTCGAAGATACGAACCCGACATTTTTAATGCACTATTTTGTTGTTGTTTTAACCCTAGTGTAAGCTATGATTCATTGGTACATTATAATAAAACTGTCGTTTTATTATAATATTATCATCAAAATAATTCATGTCGAACAAAATGTGTAGAAACACATACCCTGTACAGATGTTTTAGTCTATCATAGCTTTATAGGGTACTCAGGAAAGATAATATGTTCCTGCACGCAAAGCTTACAAGGTCATAAATAGTTTTCATTCCGATTGCACTGACCAAACGACCAAACCTTTGGAAATCTCTGAAGTAATACTGAACCTGAGGATGAAAACAAAAGGAAGTGACTGCTACCACGTTGCCTACATGTTGAAATTGCCCATAAACACATTTTAATCACATTGTATATAGACTTAGTAACAATGCATGTCATGACGTGCACCGTAGATTATCTATAGTTAGCCCTAAATTCTGCCCACTTGCTATGGTCGCCAGGCCTTTATGCCCTTTAATCTGAAAGTACGATTCGCAAACAGATAGAAACTAGCACAACCCTGATGTCGCAAACAAATAATAGAAAGAGCTAATAACGCATTATAGCAGGCAGTGACTATAATGGCACCAGGCTACCACTATCTACATCTATTGCATCCGAGTTTTCCTCAAAATCGATTAATTAAATGAAACCTGTTAAATGCTGTAATCAAACAGAAACACAAACCACGGCCATCAATTTAAAATCTTTAATGTTATAAACACGTCCTAAAAGTAGGAAGTGGGTAATTACGATTAAAAAAAGAAGATGTTCTCATTCCTTTTTGTTTCGTTTACTAACATGATAAACACGAATTCTCATGAGATTGTTACACTGTAGCAAGAACACTACGTGCATATATATATGTAAGTAGTAAAAAAATTCCAAAATTGGCAAAATTTATTTTAATGCTGCCTGCTTCAACTGTGAATGCTGATGTTGCACTGCCACCTATTCATGCTGCCAGCAGTACTTACGGCATGTAGTTGGCGCCAACAAACAATGCTACTAGTGGCACTTACAACGTAACCAGCAGTGCCACTCATACAGTGCTAGCAATGCCACCTGTCTAATCATTACCTCTAGCTTTGCAGCTAGTAGTGCCACATTTCTAACACCAACCCGTATGATGCTGGTCGCTCCATCGTCATTACACTCCCGATATCACCCATCTGATGCATTTGGCATCACCGGTGTCATGCTGAAGGACACCAGCTCGTGACCTCTACCGGCGCGACCCTGTTCAACACTAACCCATCCAAAATCGGTAGCGCCAACTATCCAAAGCTAGTAGCGCCACCTGTTATTCAGCCGTCGGATGCAGGCGGCGTCACCCAGCCATACTTGTCGTGGATCTTCAGCAGACTGCGGAACGCACTCTCGGCGGCGCGGCGGCTGTAAGGCTTGCGCGTCTTCTTCTCCTCGAGGCGGCCGTCTCCCTTCGCGAGGCTCGCCGCAAACTGCACGACGATCGCCTCGACCGTGTACGCGCTCGACCAGCCGCGCGGCGTCAGCAGCTCCATGCAGATGGCGCCATCGTCGAGCACGAAGCCGTTGCGGATGCGCGGCGCGACGACACGCATGAAGGGCGGCGCGAACGGGAAGTTCTCCGGGAAGGTGAGGCCGAGCTGGATGCTGGCGACGGCGTGCACGCGCATGTCGCGCGCGATCGCCGAGTCCGGGTCGAGGCCGCGCACGCGCACGCACCACTCGTACAGGCTGTCGTCGACCAGCTCGACGGAGAAGATGCCCTGCTCGCCCCACTGCTGCAGGTTGCGCAGCTCTTTCATGAGCCGCTTTGCGCGTACGCTTCCGCCGTGCGCGACCGCCGGCGCCACCTGCTCAACGGTGCTGCCCGTCTTGAGTGGGGCGGTCAGCGACCCCCACTTGGGGAGGTGCGTGCGCTCGGAGCTTCTGAGGACGGCGCGGGGAAGCGTGTGCTCGGCGGAGGGGTCGTCCGGATCCCGCGAGGAATCATCCGGTGAGTCGGACTTGCCGCGTCGCTTGCGAAGCTTCATGAGGAGGGCATCCATCCAGGTTGTGTTGCCGCTACCGCGCGGCTGTTCATCGGTGGTGTCTAGAGTTGCAGTTGGTTGCCTGCGGCTGCCTTCGTCCATCGGACGACGAGCGTTCCTGCTGGTGCACAGTCAAGCTCCTGGGCAACCTAGAATGAATGAGGATTTCCCAGGATATAGACAAACTATGGACACACAGTATGCTCACACAAACATCTTTCCAATTAAGTCTCCTCCCCAACCTGGACCTCTTTGCACGTGGATCTTCTCCCACATGGGGGCTCTCCCAAATGGACCTCTCTGCATGTGTACCGCCTCCCACATGGAGCCTCTCCCACCTCGACCTTCTATCTTGACTACCTACAACAAGCTTTCTGTCTCCCACGCGGACTTGCTCCGACGTGGACCTGCTCCCACACGAACGTCCTCACACCTAAACATCTTACTACATTGATGTCCTCCTACGTGAACCTGCGTTCACAGGGACCTTCTCCCTAATGGGCTTCATCCCAAACGGGCCCACCTGTACTTCTTCCTACATGGAACTCTCGCCATGTGGACCAACTCCTTCGTGAATCTCCTCCTAGCTAGATCCTTAGCCACGCTGATAGGGTCTATGTCCCCCAGGGTACTGCCGGAACGTACCCTGGGTACGGTCCGGTATACCGGAACGTACCCTGGTACTAAATACTACTAGTACTATCTAATATGCAGGACCGTACCTCGCCTACTCCACTAACGAGTCTAGGGAGTCGCCTACGCCTACTCCCCAACCCTAACCCTAACTCTAACCCTAACCCTAACACTAACTCTAACCATATCAGCTAGATAGTTACCAGGGTACGTTCCGGCAGTACCCTGGGGGACATAGACCCTATCAGCCTTAGCCACCGCCCGGACCCAGATGTCACTACCAGTCAACACAAAATTGTGTTCAACGTGTCTATGCATGCAAATTACATAGATTTAATCATAACATAATTCTGCTTGTGGAAACTTTGCTGCTCAATGTCTATAGCTACGTTGCAACTCGGGTCGATAGATTTCACTCTGTACAGTATATGCTAAATGTTTAGTTGATAACGTAGTGAGACAACACTCTGTTGATAAAAGAGCATGGTAGGCAATACATTAAAATTCACATCATATTATAGGGTTGACTATTGGACTTTGGAGTAGCTTTTGACTATTGCAACACTATCGCTATTGCTGCAACTACTAACGAAAGTAATAACTGTAGGGGGCCTATGCTCATCACTGTTGCAATAGTTTTGGAATATTATCAAACTAAGTTGATTACTTGATATATATGTTTACAACTAAATTACAAAGAATCGACTTCAAAAACTGAATCATTTACAAACAATAAACCGTATTGTATTTAAATACAAATGCAATAAAGTCAAACACACAGGATTTTCACTGCAAACTAACTAAAACAAGTGGATCGAGCCAAGATAAGTTATCGATATATCATATTGATATTTACTATTGATCTATTGTGAAATGCAAACTGTGCCGTCCAAAGGGGGGGGGGTGCGATGGGTGCGGTCGCACCCCCCTTTTTTCCAGAGTTTACCCCCGGGAATTCATGAGTAATTCATGATTGACTCATCACTCATGACTCAACCAAAATTATTTCCGAAATATTTGGTCATAAATTGTGTGCAAAAATGCTCCAAAACAAGGCTCAGATTGCACCACAGAACATCTAAAACCCCTGAGCTTCCAGGGCCTTTTAAAGCGGACCCTGGACCCAGGCCGTGAGGGACCTCGCGGTCGTGATGTGCGCAAAGTAGCCCTACTCCTGTCACAGGGGCGTAGCCAGGGGGTTCGGACGAACCCCCCCGTGGGATCGGGAGTTCCGCTCAAATGTATACTTTTTTTAACCCTATTTCGTATTCCAAATACCGGTGGTGGTTAAGACAAATTAACAAAATTAGCATAAATGAAAAGTCCCGTCGATCCTCATTATTGATTGCTTTGCAGCATTATGCAGCACATTCATTCACCATGCACTATATAGCCATAATATTATTATTTTACTGGGTGGATAGTGGATACAAACATATACGTACACAAGTCCAGTTCGGATGACCATGCAGTTCTGCATAATTAAAAAGCAAAGGTCAACAGATTGCAGACAGTAACGAACAAACTACACGAGGCGTGGGTAGGACACGTTGTCACAATGTAACAATCAGTCCTTGAAATGGTCTGATTACGAGACTGCGCACTAACACGAGTGTCAGACGTAAGAGTTTTCACACTGCCAGATACGTACAAAATAAAAAAGTCCTGGAACACCCCTAATTATCTACGCTTCTAATCACAATGAAAACTAGTTCCTAGAAGCTCATTATAAGACTCATTAATTACAAGATAATTATGCAGTACACGTACACGTATCATTCCCACAGTATTGTGATAATACAGTGAGAAACAATTAATTTAGCATTGTGTAAAGTTATTATTTATTTCCATAAAATTAACCTTATCAAACCGGGTCAAAGTGAGAGTCACTAAATTAGTTTAAATTTAAGCTTTTATACAAATCAATGACAGCTAAATTGAGATTTAGGGATTTAAACTGATTTTATCATGAAATCGGGTCCAGAAGTCAGTTATGTGGTGAAAAGTTACTCAAAAACCGTTAGTTCATGTCTAAAAATACTATTTCAAAGTGCTGGGAAATCGTACCTGGAGCCATTAAATTTTCAAACAATTTCTAAAAGAGATCCCCATGCAAGACCCCCCTTCAGGTGCTACGCACTTAACGGCTCTATCGCTGCCGGCTTTGCCGCTAGCTCCTATGTTTCGATAGTACAGTATAGATAAGTTCCACTGCTGTAGTAATAAGAACCCCCCACCTTTTTTTAGCTGGCTACGCCTCTGAGTGTGTCAGGCCACCCCCCTTTTTGAAAAGCTGGCCAGGCCTGCTGTGTATGAGGGGGAACTTCGTAACAATGTCCCTGTTTTTTGATGTCTTTTAGTATGTCTATGATTCAGTCACCAACATCATAAAATTGAAGGCACTGTGGATGCACTGTCCCTCTTCCTACCCCATCCCTCCCCTGCCTCCCTCTGTTCGTTTGCCTCCTTCCTCCCTCTCTCCATTCCTCACTACCTCCCTCTGTCCCTCCTCCCTCATACGTGTCTGCATCTGCCCCACCTCTCTCTCTCTCGCATAACAATAGTTGAATTCTTCTAATAAGTCAATTTCACTGTTCGACTGTGCATGCTTAAAAATTGGTAACCATTTCGTAGCCTGGACATGGCTGACGGCTACCTACCTATTCTTCCACAGTAGAATAACCTAGGCAGCCAACGCTTACTTTGCAAAAGAGTAGTTATTGTTAAGTTTTCCTTAAACGTGTGAACTTGCTTAATTGTCTAGTGGATGCCGTATTAATTATTGTCACATGTGTAAATGGTATTGTACAAACTTGGATTGTGATGCTTATTTGCTTATACACACTATAGAAACCACTACCAGTACCAGGTGCTCAGCACTAGCACTCTCGCTAGCACTCTAGCTAGCACTAGCACCACTAGCAGATTGCTCAGTAGTTACGACGTCCCAAAATCCTACAAGCTTTAATTCCAAATAAGAAATGAGCTTAATCCTTGTGTACAATGATTCTAACAGAGTGACGCACTCCTCTGGGATGAGTTACACCTTGTGTCGGCTTTTGCCTTTGGACATCAATTATTGCCCACCACTTCCACCTCTGAGTAGTATAAACGGTTCTGTAATTTGCAACTGACACGTCACACAGTCTGGGCAGAGTAAGAGCCATGAGTGTAATGGCTATATTGCTCCGCTGAGGGGTGGCTTCTTCTATACTCAGCAACAGCTTCTTACAGAACTACAACTTGTATAATTAGACGAGGAGTATTTGTACGTATGCACATAATCCTACTTTGTGGAAAACCAACACAGATATCAACCATTTGTCTATGTATAGGGTTATAGTAGATTCCTCATGTGGCTACCCTACAAATCCTCACTGTCTCCCTTTGACGGTCATGAACCATTACCCTGATACATCCCAGCATTAATGCTTTATCGATGACTTCAGGAGCCAATGTACATTAGACAACAGTGGTATTATTATTGTACACGATGCAACTAGTTAGTGTCATGCAAGAGCTAAACAGACTAAAGCACAATGTTAATCCATGTGGTACATTAAAATATCATTTTGGTGAATGTTCCATTTTCATCATTAACGATACACAAAATTCTGTAGCATTGAACTGCAACGAGACATTTCTACAATACTCCCGAAACCATTAAGAGTAGTATTGCTTGTACAGCCTGATACAGTTGCGGTGGTATGCCGTTGCATAGCATACGGTATCCGCTGGGTCATGTATCTTTCTGCATGCACAATTCATACAGAATGTGCAGTTTAATTCTATAAAACAGTGATATATCATAATGCATTGTTGCCATTCTCTATGCGTGTTTGAATCGCTAATCGTGAGCTTTTCTTACGTTTTCTTACAATTTTCTTACTTTCCCCCAATAGCTGGATGAAAAAAAGAGCCTCGTAATTAAACAGCCTCAAGAAAGCATATATATGACTCTCACGTACATTCACAGATTAGGCACTTGGAAGGTACGTCTCAATAAAAAATTTTTTTTAATAAACACGAAATGTATTTACTATTTACTACCAGTACCAGTCTTAATGTTTCTCTACTCTATTTCGCCTATTATTGTCGATAACTTGCTGTAAATGCCGTTCAAATGCTCATCTGCAACACACAAGTACACCGCACACATGCCCTGTGCACAAACAACAAGAATAAAAGATCTTCTTGCTTCTTGATTCTCTTTTATTCTTGTTGTTTGTGCACAGGGCGTGCATGCAGTGTACTTGTGAGTTGCAGATGAGCATTTGAACGGCATTTACAGTAAGTTATCGACAATAATAGGCAAAATAGAGTAGAAAAACATTAAGACTTTGGTAGTAAATACATTTCGTGTTTATTTACCTTTTTTTATTGAGACGTTCCAATTGCCTGTGGATTAGATCAGTTGTTCAGAGCCAGAAATAAAACTATGGCAGTATCAAATAGCTCATCGAGCAGATTACAGTTGTGTTACAAGTATACCAAAAACAAGGTTATAATTAACGAAGTGGCTATATGCCGGGCAGCCGGGCACGGTCTTCGATTTCCTAAATGCCCGGCAGTTTTTAATTTTCGGTGATTTCTCAAGTAAACAGTGTACTACGTGATCCAAAGTATTCTACATTTGTTTAGAAATGTCAAGCGATTTTCCTTAGAGCTGTATATATATTCAAACTAGCCCCATTCTCCTAGCTTCGGATCACCGAGCGAACGAACTCGCAATCAACACTTAGAAAATATCCGACGGCTGCCGGGCACGGTCTTCGATTTCCTAAATGCCCGGCAGTTTTTAATTTTCGGTGAGTTCTCAAGTAAACAGTGTACTACGTGATCTAAAGCATTCTACATTTGTTTAGAAATGTCAAGCAATTTCGCGATGTTAAGCTGATGTTCGCGATGTTTTAGCGATGTTATTGTTAAGCGATTCGTTAGAGCTGTATATATTCGAACTAGCCTAATTCTCCTAGCTTCGGATCACTGAGCGAACGACACTTGGAAAATATCCGACGGCTGCCGGGCACGGTCTT